TGGTCGTTCTCCCCGCGCTCCCCCCCCCCCCCCCCCCCCAACTTTTTTAAGTGTAGTCGGCCTCTTTAGCATGAGCTAGTACTGTTCAATGATGCATCAAACTTTCAGGGGATGTTGATTTAGGGAACACCACTGTCACCAGTAATTCTATTCCTTTCTGACATATAATGATAAATAATCTATGGTGATTTTATGGTGTAAGCAGTTTCATCTTGACAACAGGCAACTTTTTTACATTCATTGTGTTTGATTGTACCAGAAAAGAAAAGAATTAGGCACCATATTTATTAATTTAGCAGAATTCTAGGAGTAGAAGATAACTAAGGGGAGGCAGTAGGTAACAATAGTTGGCACACAGGAATGGCTGAATTTTTCTGAAATCTTTAATTTATATATATGATTCTGCACAGAATTGTTTGATGTACTTTTGTGTATATGATTGTCATTTTTAACAAGCCTAAAAACACATTTGGACTTTTTAGAATTGGGATGCAACTTATAGCAGCTAGGCAAGCAAATGACAACTGACAGCCTTTATAGCTTGGGTTTTTCTTTCAGACCTAGTTTAGTAGTTATTTTGTATAACATGCTACACATAATGGGCTCCTTGATGAGATTTTCTTTTTATAGTGCACTGTTCAGGTAAAGCTGGAGTTGGGACATCGCGCTCAGCTAAGGAAGAAGCCAACTACTGATGGATTCACCCATGACTGGATGGTGTTTGTTCGTGGGCCCGAGCAGTGTGACATTCAACATTTTGTGGAGAAGGTGGTTTTCAGGCTTCATGACAGCTTTCCCAAACCTAAACGTGGCAAGTATCTTCAAGTTTTTACTTCATTACCATTTTAAACTTGGGGAAACATTACGACATGTTAACGAAACTGATTGTACAGCTTTTCCAGTCATTATTAATTAGATATTAATAATGTTAACATTATTTCTTATTGAACATTTAGGCTCTATTCTGCTTTAGTAAACCTGTGTTTCCATTAAAAGTATAACAAAAAGGCATATGTCGCAGGGGTGTGGCGGAGTAGAAATGCTTTCCCGTGGAGCTCCTGGGCCTGCCTTTCCCACCTAGCTAATATCTGTGATTTTTCTATCAGCAACATGAGTGCAGCCAGAAGGAGGAAGCTGGCGGATTCACAGTCAACCACAACCGAGGAAAAACTGCAGCGGTTTTTCCTGCACTACACCCGGCGCAGCCCTATCCTCAAAGGACTGCAGGACTGCTTCAAGAGTGGACTTGTTTGTGGGGGACTTCTACTCACCCTTCCTAACAAGGCGGATCTGGAAACGCTAATTGCCAGAATTGAGGAGACTCACCGGAGAGATTTGCAGGTGGTGCGTCAGGAGGTGCAACAACTATACGATCGCGTGGACCAGCATGACACCGTCGCAGAAGATCTAGCTCCCTTGCGTGGTGGTTATGAAGCGGGACCGGCTGCCTCCCTTGCAGCCATGTGCCTCAAATTGGAGGACAATGTACCTTGCAAATGTTCTGTACCTGTGGCTTCAGGCAGGTCTCGTAAGTGTAGATTGTTCCTGTGGCTTCTGTATTTAGTGACAGCTATATTTAGAAAAATACTAGATGTTCCACCAGACACTGGTATCATTTTAGATCGGGTGCACTGCGCTCTTGGCCCCAAAGCACTAGATCCTGACTGCCCTTGAGGCATCTGTAGAGTACATAGATTCACAGTTAAGGAGGAGATCCTATGTAAGGTGTGGGCTGGTAAACTGAGCCCAGTGTACTTTGATGGAGCCAGTGTGTGGGTTCTGCTCGATCTTACGCCCCCTCCTAGATCGATTGAGAAACATGGGATTCACATATCAGTAGGGATTTTCCTTTCACCTAGTAGTGAGAAAGAACTTGTCCTTTCTTCTCCGTATTTCTGCACATCTGCCGCCTTGAGTTTTTGAAGATAAAGCTGATCCAAGATTGGTTGCAACCACTAGAAGACTATGCTCTGCAGCAGAGGATTCAGTTTCTGAGCCGATGGCAGATGATGCTCAGCCTCGTCGAGGGGTCGCAGGCCCTTGGACGGAGGAAAGATGTCAAACCGTGAATCATCGCGTGGACCTGTAAGTGCTTATTTGCCTTGGTCACTCAGCTCATGAGTTTTATTAGCCCCAGTGCACAGCTACCGGTAGCCGGTCCACTATAGGTTCCAACAGCCTTTGGTAGATGGATCCCCCCTTGGACTTTAGCATCTCCCCACCACTGATTTATTCATCCTGATTCTATCACCTGGAGATGTTTATTGCTAGCTGTTCTTGCCTGGTGGGACACCCCCAGGTGCACGTTTTGACTTCCAGCTACATGGTCCGTTGTCTGGTTCCGGAGAGAGGATTCGTCTGGTTGCTGTTCCTCCCTCCTACATGCTTACCCAATTCTGCTTGTGGAGGAACTGTTCAGCAGGCTCTCATGGCTTACTGGAGATGGCAGGAGGTCAAGAGAGTATGCCCTTGTATGACGAATGTGGAATCCTGGCTATCTTCAATTATGTTATGCCCTTCTTACCTGCATGGATATTCAGATTCCTCCGATTTGACTTTAGGCTCTTCCAGGTGGAGGTTTCTGGATAACGCTAACTCCTTCATTATCTACCTGTCTTAGGGCTCAGTTTTTAGCTTCATGTTGTAACTCTGTGTGTTTGTTATAGATTTGGGGGTGCTTTGCTGGATTGTTTTGGTGGGGGGGGGCGCTTATCCTATGCCCCAAGGAGAGAGATTAATCTTTTATTTCATCTTGCACAATTCCTATTCCTGCATAGACATGTTTCTGGTTTAACACCATGACTTACTTCGGGTGCGGGATGCCTCCATTTGTTCCATCTTGCACTCTGACCACCATGCACCCATAACTTTAGATATAGACCTTCTTTCCACCTCCCCGAAGCCCTGGAGTTGATGTTTAAATGGCACTCTCCTTCAGCAGAGTTATCCCTAGCTGAACTTAACGTCCTTGGAGAGCATTTGAAATCTGTATACTTGTATAACGCAAAATCAATGCTTGCTAGGTGTAGGCACTTCTACTATTAGCATGGTATCAAATATGGAAAACGTGTAGCCCATGCACTTAGAGCAAAGCACGATCTTGCGTTTATCCCAGAAATTCCCATTGATTTGTAGCATAAAACTTTCCGAGACAGGTGACATAGCAAGGGTGTTTAGTAAGCACTATTCTTCGCTTTATAATCTTTTCTCCGAGGTTACAGGGGATCAACAATCTTTAAGAGATAGAGATTGGTAGGTTTTTGGACGAATCTCCCTTGTTTTCCAAAGGAGACATTTTTTCTCCTTGAACACGGATTCCTCTTACACGGATCATTGACTGGTCTTGACATAGTACCATTAAACAGTGGATCAATGTGGAACAAATGTTTTCTGAGGTGTCTCTTCCCTGCCCTGCTGTATGAATAGACTTCTGATGACACTCAAGTTGCATCGTACGATTGGTACTTCATGGGCAGTATGCTGCAAATTCTTTAAGAGGTCCGCAAGTTCGCCTATGCCGTTCACGTTTTTCCTTATTGTAGGGAAATCCACTTTCTCTCCCAGCCTCTTGGACCCGTTTTTTTTAACGTTGTTCCACACTGGCAACATTAGTTCTCACCATTTTATTTGTGATGTGAGCTGGATTTCTTTTGAATGGCTTCTATTGGATCAACATGCTATAACTGTATGATTTTGGATGTCAGTGCAACTTTCCCATCTCCTACTATCCTTGCCACTAGTAGAGGGTTATGCTCGCCTTCTGACTGTCTTCAAAACCAGCTGTTCCCATACTGTTCCGTTGAGACTTACGATTTCCTTGTTGTATACCCTGTTAGCTTTCCTCCTATTGACTCTTATTTATGCTTCATGGCTCGCTGGGAACAAGATCTCAATATTCGGTTTTCACAGTCGGATATAGACTGGGTACTTTTTTTCCACTCACAAGACTCCTTTGAGTACGAAATATCAGGAGTCTAGCTTTAAGCTTTTGACTCGATGCTACAGGACACCTCAGCTGTTGCACTCCCGAGCCTCCCACATATGTGTTGGCACTGCAACAGGGATAAGGAGGACTTTCTACACATTTTCTAGTCATGCTCCATTATCTTACAGTTCTGGTCAAAGGTGAGACGTATTTCTCAAAAATTCAGACTTTCAAGTTCCTAATAACTGAGCCTTTTTTTTTCCCATCATAACTGCATGCTTAAATGTACCTATAAAAAATCGATACTGCCACATCTTGTTAATTCGTCTAGAAGTTGTATCCCTGAATTGTGGAGATGGACTCAACCTCCCTCTATTCTGATGTGGATTAACAAGATTTATCAAATTGAACAGTTGGAAAATCTAATAGCTTTTTTTAGGGGGACGCATGAGCAGTTCAGGAAAACGTGGTTCTATTGGAAACATTTCTCGACTACAACAGAGTATGTGGGCTTGATGAGGGGGTGCCCTTCCTAGTTCCTTGGGCCGGCCCTGGGTGTGTGGGATGCAGTTGGAGGGCTGGATCAACTTTATTTCCTCTGCTTTGTTGTGCTTGTCTCACTTTTGCTTTCACTAATTCTATCTTTTACACTGCTGTAGTTTTCTTCCTTTTTTCTTATACAGGTGAAACTCGAATAATTAGAATATCGTGCAAAGTTCATTTATTTCACTAATGCAACTTAAAAGGTGAAACTAATATATGAGATAGACTCATTACATGCAAAGCAAGATAATTCAAGCCGTGATTTGTCATAATTGTGATGATTATGGCTTACAGCTCATGAAAACCCCAAGAACCCCAAATCCACAACCTCAAAAAAGTAGATTATTACATGCAATCAATAAAAGAAGGATTGTACATAGAACAATATCGGACCTCTGAAAAGTACAAGCATGCATATGTACTCAGTACTTGGTTTGGGCCCCTTTTGCAGCACTTACTGCAATTACTTTTGCACGATATTCTAATTATTCGAGTTTCACCTGTATGTTGGTATGGGGTTTGTTTTTGTGGGTACTGCAATTGAGCATATTTTTTTGTGCATTTTCTATGGATTTCAATGCCGACCACGTGCTTAAAATTCGGACAAATGTGATTGCAACCTAAATGAGAGCTTCCAACTAAAGAGAAAGAAGGTAGTTCTGAGATGTGCATCTCACTTGTGCCTGCACATGCACTAAACCATGCACTTTCTCCACCAGGTCCTTCTGTGTCTTCTTTCACAGCATATTTATTGGTGACAACATTCCTTATAGGGGACTATGAGAACTAATTTGAAACCCAAGCTAAAAAGCTAACATAGTCTCCTGCAGAACCTGAAGGAGTAAGGGAAGTTAGAATGACACCTCCTATTCAAATACATCAGTATTGTACATTTCTTGTTAAATGTGAAGTTGTCTTACCTTGGTTCATGTAGCCACCTTTTGAATCTAATTTTTTTTTTTAGTGTGCAAGGAGCCCCCATACAAAGTAGAAGAAACAGGATATGCTGGCTTCATTTTGCCGATTGAAGTATACTTCAAAAACAAGGTAGTGATAGATTTTTATTCAGTATTTACGTTCTTTGCTACAAGGAAACATTGCGACATGCAATTATTATTTCTTGTGCAGGAGGAACCCAAGAAAGTGTGTTTTACATATGATTTGTTCTTGAACCTGGAGGGGAATCCACCAGTTAACCATCTGCGCTGTGAGAAGCTGACCTTCAATAATCCAACCAAGGAATTCCGTAGGAAGCTGCTTAAAGCGGGTGGGGTAAGTAGCCATGGAGTGGACTACAGAGTTTTGGAGAAAGGAGCAAGTTGTCACCGTGGGAACCATTATGATATTTCTAAAGTATACTAACAAGAAAACGTGATCTTTGAATGCACAGATATCTTCTGTACCACTCATTTACAAACGTTTGTGACTGGAATAATGCTTCCACAAAGGTAATTTTATTGGTGGGAAAGAAAAAAAAAAGCACTCCTTCAGGTAGAGCATACCATAGTGTAAATGGATAGCCAGTACTACTCGGTCTTCTCCACATTTTGAAGTGATATAATCATACTTACGGGAAATACCAAAAAAGTGTGACCATTTTCACTGCAACCCACGTTTTGGTCACTGAAGTCACCTGATTATTGTTTGAAAGGTGTCAGATTTTTTTCTGTGCCCTGTGAGTACTGTTATGCTGCTAAGATAGGTTATCCTGAAAAGTTCATAACCACCAGTATTACAAATACACACACCAGAACTGTACAATATATATTTAAGTTTGAATTTCTTATGGAAACCTATTTTTTACTTGCACACAGTAAATTCTGATATATTTTGGATGTTGGTGTGATCATCTAATTGGGCATAGATAGGAAGGTTTGACCGTCTTTATCTTAGCATGGAAGGTCTCAATATGTCCGTAGTAATGTACTAAGTTTGTCTGCTGATGCAGTATTTATATTTAAGGTGATGGTAATGCCAGAGGGAGCAGAGACTGTATCAAGACCAAGTCCAGACTACCCCATGTTGCCCACAATCCCTCTCTCCGCGTTCTCCGATCCAAAGAAAGCAAAGCCATCATCGCATGCATCAAAGGTTTGTGCGTTTCTTGTTTTTTTTTTCTTGTTTTTTTTTTCTTCTCTTTTTTTGGTTTAATTCATCGTGGCAGATTTGTTGCCCCTTTTAGAGAGCTTATTATAATGCGTCATTCTATTTACAGGAAAACAGCAAAGACAGCAGCAAAGCATCAAAACCCCACAAAGTAACAAAAGAACATAGAGAAAGAATGAGGAAAGATTCAGAAAGTAAAAGCAAGGAGAGTGACTTAAGTAAACCAGTTAAGGAATCATCTTCTTCCTCACGAAAACCGGCTGAAAACAAACCAACTAAGGAAGAAAAAGCACCTATTAAAGTGGCTTTCAAGGAGCAAAAACTATCCCTTAAAGAACCCAAACTGGAGAACACGTCTCCAAAAGGGGGTCCTTCTGATTCCAAACCCTCCAGCAAGAGACCACCGAACATAGACTCTCCCAAATCTAGCAGTAAAAAGCCAAAAAAGGGCACCTCTAAAGGACTTGTGGTTTCAACGACCTCTCCTCGTGCTCCACCTAATCCCAGCAACCCAGTCACCTCTTATACAGACAAAAAATTGGTAAAAGAAAAACCAGTAAGCAAAGCAGATAGGCCCAAACCAGACCCTGATGTCAAGAAGGCAGTTGAGGCCGATGACTCTAATTCTGATGAGGAAGTATCATCAAAATCCGGGGTAATTCTGGAAGATTGCTGTTTTTTTAACTAGATTTTCTTGCCAACATGTTTTTCTCTTGTCAGTTTTTTTTTCTTTGAGACGTTTTGGCAGAGTAAAACATAATTTTCCCAATGCATAGAGCCGACGTGGGACACTGCAGCTGTTTTATTCTGGCTGTATATACCCTGAGCTGAGTGATCATGTAACTATTGATTACTTAGCTCTTGGTCTTCCGGCATAGAGTAGTGAATGTCAGTTACCACTCCCCACAGGAATTCCCCCCCCCCTCCCCTCTCTGTTCCTCACTGGAGGGACGGATAAAGGAGGTGTTGGGCGCAGCTGGCTCTGGCTCTAGACAGGCAAAGCCAACTGTCAATCAGGCAGCCGGACAGATCCTGACAATTTTGTCAGGGTCCTTCCCAGCTGCAGTGGGGTTGCCCTGGCACTGCAAGGGTTAAGTGCTTGTTTTCATCTAGGCGCGAAAGTAACAAAGTTATACTCACCTGAACTTTGCAGTCAGCTGGCTGTTACAGTGCTCCCTTCAGCCTCCCTCCTCCCCTCCAGCGATGAAATGTCGCTGGGTGTTCTCTTGTCCAATACACAGTGTCAAAACTGGAGCAGACAGAATCTGGAGTTGTTACCCATGGGAACCAATCAGCATGTCTCTTCAGTTTGCTATGGGTAAAATTTGAAAATGAGACAGAGAAGCTGATTAGTTGCAGTGCAGATCTGCTCCAGTTGTGATAAATTCCCCTCACTGTATTGGACGTGATGATTCGCGCGACCTTAGACTGCTGGAGAGGAGGGGGAAGAGAGGCCGGAGGAACCAGTCTAACAGCCAGCCGGCTCGGACTATCAGGTGAGTATATATTTTCGCACCTAGATGAAAACAAACACTTATCCCTTGCAGTAGCAGTGTAGCTCCACTGCAAGGGTGAAAAAAATGTTTGCCTTGAAAAAAAACCTGTGTCAAAATATTTTTGTATACAAAGCAGTTTGCTTGTTATTGTACTGACTTGAGTTTTTATATTTGTCCATAAAATTCATGCTTTGCGCTCCATTTCTAAATGCACCTGGAAGCATATAATGCTTTGCTATGACTGAATGCACACCTACATGTTTAGCAGCATCTAGGTCAGGGGTATACAAACTTTCCAGCTGTGGTGAAACTACAACTCCCGTCATGCATCTGCCTCTGGGAGTCATTCATGTAGCTGTTAGTGTAATTATCAAACAAGCTTTGCAACAATATTCCCCTCCTTAATCGCACACACTAATTCAGTGTGACACCAAATTAATAACTTCAAACAAACATGTGCCACGCTCTATATCAAAACAATTGCAAAGTATAAAAACAAAAACAGTGCTAACAAAGTGCCAAGAGAAAGTCATGTGAAACCAATATGATCCAATGTGAATGCAGTCCACTCCAAGGTGCAAATTCTTCAATAATAAAATACTCCTTCAATGTTGTTGTTGTTTTAACAATGTTCCAACGTTGTTGGATTTCAGCATATGTCATATGTGAAGTAATGGTGGAAAACACGAATTGAAGGAGTATTTTATTATTGAAAAATTTGCACCTTGGAGTGGACTGCATTCACGTAGGATCAGATTGGTGTCATGGGGCTTTCTTTTTGTTTCCTTATTTGTTAGCACTGTTTGTTTTTATACTTTGCAATTGTTTACATATAGAGCGCAACACATGTTTCTTTGAAGTTATTCATTTGGCTGTCCGAGTCTTGCAATTCCGAATGAGATTTGTAGTTGGTCTACAGCTGGAGGGCCGGATTTTGCCTACCCCTGGTCTAGGTGCATTCAGTGTTCTGGGACAGTTTAGTCTGGTTCATGCAGCTTAACTCGTGTAAATGCAGCTAAACCTAGGAACATCTAAACACAGGAAAAAGTGATCTTGGGAGCATAAAAGTTGTGAATGCTTCTCAGATAACTTCTCCTGTGTATAACACAGGAGGCCCTTATGCATGAGGGCTTAATGTGGAAGCAAAACTGAAGTAAGAGTGCCAGTCTCTATTTTCTTTGTACACTGGTTCTTTCTTCCATGTTAAAGGAAGCATTTTTATAAAGCAGTTAATTTGACTCGGGTAAACATTTACTGCAGGTGAAACATCCTGGTGCATAAATGTTTGATTCACCACCAGTGAATGTTTGGTGAAGTCACCTTTACTGCTTTTATAAATATATCTGAAAGTGTCTATAGATAAGTGATGGTAATCACCCAGTCCAGCTATATTCTATGGGTTACATGCAGAATATGTGAGCGGGAGGTTAGAAAACATCGTCTGGTCGCTGTCCTTTTTCTCATGGTGAGCCAGCATTGGAGCACACTTCCTCTCCGCTTCTGCATATTCTAAGCCAAAACGGTCACTTGAAGCAGCTGTTTGTATTTAAAACTTCAGTGGCAGATTCTGGTGTTTAAGGGCTAGTTCACACCAAGCGCAGAGCAGATCCAGAGCAGGTGCGGACCGGATCAAAACTGCGTCCAATGTATTCCTATGGTATTTTGAGCTCCAGTTCACATTGCAGCGTGCAGATCCAGAGCAGGTAAAAAAAACTGCAGCAGGCCCTATTTTACCTGCTCTGGACCTGCAAACGCATCAAAAACGCATGCAAATGCCTGGAATGCACTGAAAGCCCATGTTAAACTAAAAGAAAAAACGTGTCAAAAACGCATCTAAAAGACTAGCGTGCGTGTGCAGAAACCTGACCGGATCTGCTCTGCATTTGGTGTGAACAAGGCCTAAGGGCTGTTGGATTGTATAAAGGACAAATACAACAGACATTACAGCAGTAGCAGCAAATCCTCTTACAGTGCCATTTTAAAGAAATTTTTGAACGCAAAACGTGTATCTGGTAGAATAATGTTCCTTGAGCCCCTATTCACACTAGTCGCACATGAACCCGCGATGCGGTTTACATTGCAATGAGCTGCTCTACATGTGACAAACGTGGCATAGAAGCTCATGCAGATATTTAAGCTGTCAGCTTTATGCATTTTTTGACCACGTGTTTATTGTGTGTTAAGTTGCTTGCCAAAAAAGCCAAGTCTTGCTTGATTAATTTGGGGTGCTATTAACAAATAATGGAACTGCAGGAATGACATGCGCACTTTGCGGGAGTCACATGTGCGACTAGTGTGAAAGTGGGCTGAGAATTACTCACTGTTGATGGTGTAGCTTCTGCTATACTTGTTTCATTTGAAGGTGAATAATTCCAATTATTTGAAATGGTGAACGAGTAGTTGTATGTCTAATGTTTTATTCATCATGTGCATGCACTATATAATATCTGTTTATAGTATTGCTGTGTTGACTTGTTTCACCACATTAATGTGTTTATTTTTTGTTATTTCTACACTTGTCTCATTAATTTGTGTGTGTGTGTGTGTGTGTGTGTAGTCAATCCCATCTAGCCCATCAAACAGCAGCTCCACTTCAGACTCCAGCTCTGAGTCAGACTTTGAACCTTCCCAAAACCACAGCCAAGGTAGGCATGCATTATAAAATCTAACAACCTATGCAGATAAAAAAAACAAGGCTTTCTGTTCCATTTTATGTATCTAGCTGTAAGTAAAGAAGGCATTTAGGTGCATGCTAAATTCTGTTTTTTTAAAACTGATATTAGATGATAGAGGGACCTATTTCAGCGTGACTTTTTTTGTGACGACTGGTTGGGTGCTGGGGAATCCGTCTTTCTTTCTTACATGTTCTAACCACTGTACCCAAGCTGAGCGTTTTGGTTCATACAGTAATGAACATGAGAGAAACTACTATTAGGGTTATGCATTTTATTAAAATTGCTCATACGAAGCATAACCCTGTTTAATTCCTTCAGTTCATTGCTGTTAAAGCGCTGGGCTGTTGTAATTTAACTGAAGACATTGGGGGGAATTTATTAAACCTGGAGCAGTTGTCCATAGTAACCAATCAGCTTCTATCTTCAATTTTGTTCAGTTAAGCTTTGAAAATAAGAGAAGGAAGCTGACTGGTTGCTAAGGACAATTGCTCCCATTTTTGTTAAATTCCCCTCACTGGGTTTAAATTACTAAAAGAGAAAAGACTGTTTTTTTTTTTTTAGCAAAGTTCATTTTCATTAAGACTTTGAAAACTGTAAAGCTGGGTTCACTTCAATCATTCAATCGGGTGCAGACAAAAATGTATCTAATTTTTTATTTTCCCTTGTCATATGATTGGATATTTAAAATGATTTACCTTCTTTACTAATCTCGTCTACTCCTTTTACTAATCATTGTCTACTCCTAGTAAATAAACCCCATATATGCCCCAAGCTGCAGACCAGGGTTCTGGCTTTGGAAAGCTTTCCACAGGCTTGCCTGAAGAAACATAAAATTAGCCTAGCTAGTGGAACCTTAACCTCCCTGGCGGTATGATTATGTCAGGAATTTTGTACCAAAAGCGCTACAATTTTTTGCATGGAAATTTGGTGTTATGTATTGTAGGCCTGCAATTCTTAGTAAATCTTAGGAATAACTCACCTAAATCTGTCCAAACAAGAGTCCAGTAGACATTCCGGGTATGATAAAGTTTGAAACACGAAATTAAAAAAAACATACATACATATACATATACATATACATACATGTGAAACTCGAATAATTAGAATATCATGCAAAAGTAATTGCAGTAAGTGCTGCAAAAGGGGCCCAAACCAAGTACTGAGTACATATGTAAAAAAATTAAATTTATTTTTTTTAAAACTATTAAAAAAAAAAAACCACAACCCCCTTCCTCCCCCACATAACATACACATAATGAGGTGTACGCCATGCACATGCGCTGCAGTGCGTTGTTAGAATGCATCACAGTGCTTGATTTTTGTAAATTTTTTTTCTTTTAAAAAAAACCCATTAAATTAACTGTGGCAGCGCATGGCAAAGCTTTGTGACGCATTGCCGTGCGTTGTGATACCTTGTGTTGCAATTAAATATACACCTATATCATTTTATCACAACACAAACACGGTCCTGGTTACCTGGTAACTAGGGACGCTGATCTGTCTCTGCATGCAAGTGGCCGGAGCCAAGCGTGAGATGACGGCTGGCTCCACCAAGCTGCAAGTAGCAGGTTGTCGGCCGTTCGGCCAGCTTCGGCTTTCACCTCGGCTCAGTCGAGCCGAAGCATAGTAAATATCTAACTGTAAGCAGTTTGTGAATGAATGGGAATGAATGGGAAGCCTCTGTACTGAGTGCTTCCCATTTATTGAGTGCTGAGGCTGCAGAAAAAGAAATTGAGGACTCTGTGTCCTCAATTTCTTTTTCTATTTCAAAAGGGAAATGTCGGGGGTCTGTTTAGACCCCTAATATTTCACCGTAGCCCCCCCCCAACAGTAAAAAAAAAAATTATGAAAAAATAAATTAAAAAATGTGTAAAAAAAAAAGTATAAAAAAAGCACAACCCCTCCCTCCCCCCACATAACATACACATATCGTGGTGTACGCCATGCGCTGCAGTGCGTTGTTAGAACGCATCACAGTCCATGATTTTTTTATTTATTTTCTTTTAAAAAAAACATGAAATTAACTGTGAAATTAGCTTTGTGACGCATTGCCGTGCGTTGTGATACCCTGTGTTGCAAATAAATATATACGCCTGTATCATTTTATCACAACACATACACCAACACAGCGTAAGAGCAATTTTTAACATAAGTCGCTTTTTTACAGTTTTGCATACCTTCATTTTTTTTTACTTTTCGCAAAAAGGCGCAATTACAAATTTGCAAATATTTGTTATTTATTAACTCAATACAGTTTTATCTTTCAGATTGTCAGAAATTTTTTTTATTTGTGCGCTGATACGGATTTTAGTGTGTTTTATCAATTGAATTGTGTATTTTTATCGGTTTAATATTAATTTGAGAAACATTTGCGCAATTATCGCACGGCCTACAAATTTAGTATCACCATCTTTTTATTCTACCGGGCCTGCGCTTTCAGAAAATATATGGTTTGGGGGGTCTTTTACAAACGCTAGCAACGCAGCAGTTGAAGAAAATCAAATCAATGCACGCACTGGAGGCTAATATTGAGGATTACCAATTGGCTTTTTTTTTGTATATATGGAGTAAAGAAGAGGCTATGGATGAGCTGAAGGGGTGCTTACACCTATAGTCAGAGAAGAATAGGAGTTAGCATTGAGTGGATTTGCAACATGATAAAATTACATTTGACAGTATTGACTTTAGATATCACTATAGCACTCCTTAAGTACTGGGTAGGTTGATAAATCCAGGCAATTTGCCCATTATGTCCTATTGTGTTTTCACCTTACTCCCCTTAACTTCCTTTTACATATTTGCAGTTCCTCTTTTGACCCCCAAATCCCCCTTTCCCTCCTCTTGGCAAAAACTCTTCATACATTTATGTGAGAAGGGTGCATAAGGCATTGTGGTTGTTGTAGTGATGATTTGAATTCCACTTTTAAACTTCTTTTTTTGTTTTGATTTTGTTTTTAATCTAAGCAAATTCTGAGGTTGGGGTACACACCCCTGCTGCTGAAAAGTGATGGTTTTGCTGCTTGTACCCATAATTATCAGCTGCTAAGTACCTTTTTAGGACAACACTTCACTTGCATCTGCTAAGATTTTTCCAAGGTAATATGGCCTGGCTTCAGAAAGATATTGTCGAGCAGCTCACTTAAGACGGCACATAGGCGTTCCACTTTATGTACAGTGAAAAATCTTTTTTTTTAATTATCTCTGTTGATTGCCACCGGGAATAAAAATGCAAGGAAATTTTGCGTTCATGTTTAAACTAGGGTTTACATGTTGACTTTCTATCTCATTTAGGCCCTTTACGGTCTATGGTGGAAGATCTTCAGTCAGAAGAGTCTGACGATGACAGCTCCTGTGGTGAGGAGGCAACTCCGAAGAATAAAACTGCAGGCCGAGATTCTCGGTAAGTACTATGCTAGGAAGGAGTAAAAAGAAGTCAGCCTTTATTTCATAATCTGCTTTTAACGTTGAGTGCATTACTAAGGGAATCGCAGGTTGTTTTATTTTTTTTGTTTGAGCAAAATATGGATGTTACCAAAATACTACCCTGTGTGCTCAATTATTAGGCACGTTGTATTTTTGAGGATTCATTTCATTATTGAACAACTACAGTGCTCTCAATCAATTCAAAATGTTAATAAACCTCAAACCTGAATATTTAAGAAGGTATAAAAGTGAGGTTTTGGCTTTCCTAGACTATCTATGTGTGCACAATTATTGGGCAACTATTAGTGTGCAGAACTATTATGCAACCAAATGGAAAACTAAAATGTTCCCATCTCGCTTGTTTATTTTCATGTGTTAAAGTGAGAATTATAAACAAACATCTCAAAATTTACAAATAAACATTTCTGACATTTTCAAAAACAAAATCAGTGACTAACATAGCCACCCTTCTTTTCAATAACAGTCATAAGCCTTCCATCCATGGAGTCTGTCAGTTTCTTTTGACGATCGACTTTGTTCATCAGCAACCACGGCCTCCCAGACACTGTTCAGAGAGGTGCACTATTTTCCTTCACCGTAAATCTCCCGTTTAACTACCTGCCGGCTGTTTTTTACAACTCTCTAGATCTGAGCGGGCATCTTTAGACGTCCGCTCAGACATGCCCCCTCGCACGCGGGAAATGCCCAATATTTAAAAACAGGCAGCGATGCCTGTTAACATACAAGCGATCCACCGTCTATAGAGCCGGTGGATCGCTTGTATGGGGTAACTATCGGTGTCCCCCCGTCCGTCCCCCCCTCCGCGGTCCAGCTTCAGAAGCTGATAGAGCAGATCTGTGCTTCATCAGCTTCTTTTGGGGGGTCCTAGGTGACATTAGGGGTCTTGGAGACCCCTGATGTCTCCATAAAAAGGACCTGTCACATATTTTGCTATCACATAGGGGGGTTTTATTAGCCCCGTATGTGATAGCAATAAAGTTTAGTGGAAAAAAAAATTAAAGTTTCTCCCCCCCAAAAATTGAAAGTTACACATAAAAAAGAATAACAAAATAATATTTTTTTTAAAAATCCCCACCCATACATACACGCATGCAAACATGCGTCGGGGGCACATACGTGCAAACACGACGATTGCGCCCATTACGCCGCACATGTTACATATCGCTGCTAACGTCACAGTGAGAGCAATAATTTTAGGGCCATCAATCACTGATAACACTAAACTGATGAGCGGTAAAAGCTTTTAAAGTGTCGCCTATGGCCAATTTTGGGTGTGGTAGTTTTCTGCGATTTCGTGGGTGCGCACAATTTTAAAGCTTGACATGTTTGGTGTCTATTTACCCGACGTGACCCCGACTTTTATATTTTACAAAAAAACTGGGTAATAATAAATGTTTCCTAACAACATAATGTAAAACTTTTTTTTGTTTTTCAAAATTTTCAGTAATTTTTCCTAATTATAGTAAAAAATAAAAACCTCCCCAAAAAATGGTATAAAATTCATTTCAGTACAGCGCTGCATGACGGAATAAATGTCAGTCAAAGTACCGCAGTGCTGAATACTGAAAAATGGCCTGGCCAGGAAGGGGGTCTAAACACCTGGTCTTCAAGCGGTTAAGGAGGGCCCACAAGTTCTCAATAGGGTTTAGGTCGGGTGCGGAAGGGGGCCATGTCATTATTCTTTTATCTTTAAGGCCTTTACTGGCTAGCCACACAGTAGAGTACTTCAATGCATGCGATGGAGCATTGTCCTGCATAAATATCACGGTCTTCTTGAAAAATGCACAACCTTTTCCTGTACCACTGCTTGAAGAAAGTTTCTTCTAAAAACTTGCAGTAGGTTTGGGAGATGATTTTGAGTCCATCTTCAACCTGAAAACGTCCAACTAGCTCATCTTTAATAATACCAGCCCCCCACCTCCACCTTGCTGGTGTCTGAGTCGAAGTGGAGCTCTGTGCCCGTTACTGATCCAGCCACGGGCCCATCCATCTGGTCTGTCAAGAGTCACTCATCTGATCAGTTCGTAAAACCTTTGAAAAAACGTCTTCAGATATTTCAAGGTCCAGACTTGACGTTTCAACTTATGTGTCTTGTTCAGTGGTGGTCGGGTATCAGCCTTCCTTACCTTGCCATGTCTCTGAGCACTGAACACCTTGTACTTCTGGGCACTCCAGGTAGGGTACAGTTCTGGAATATGACAGCACTGGAGGATAATAGGTTCCTGGTAGCTTCAGGTTTGATTCTTCTCAAATCTTTGGCAGTTCATTTGTGTCTTTCTTTCTCAATGCGTTTCTTGCGACCCTGTTGACTATTTGCAACAAAACGTTTGAGGGTTCTGTGATCACGCCCCAATACCTTAGCAATTTCAAGAGTGCTGCATCCCTCTGAAAGACTTTTTAACATTTTTGACTTTTCAGAGTCAGTTAAATCTCTTTTTTGGCCCATTTTGCCTGAGGAAAAGAAGCTGCCTAATCATTATGCACACCTTGATATAGGGTGTTGATCTCCTAAGGCCACACCCTCCCTCATTACACAAATACACATCACCTGATATGCTTAAATCTAATAAGCCTTCAAGCTTATACAGCTTGGAGTTAGGACAATATGCATAAAAATGGTGATTTGGTCAAAATACTCACTTGCCTAATAATTGTGCACACACTGTAGTAGTTTGGCTTCTGGCGTCAACCAGCAAAGTTGTAGCGAAGCCATTGGATCAGCTTGACAGCATGGCAGCTAGCATTTTTTGAAGGAAAGGTCAGCAATGACACTGAATAAAATGGGTATGTGAAGCAGACTGTCTTCCTTGTTTTCTTTGTCTGCAGTAAATGGAGCAATTAGCCTGTGATATCAACTCTCAAACCACAGGGAAAGAAAAAGCAGAGGGTATTGGAATATGTTTGTATAGTTACTTGGTACACTTGGCTAATGTGTGTTTACAAAGTACAGTTACCCTTTAGGTTGTAACTAACCTATTTTGCTTGTCTCTATGTGCCTTGACAGAATGAGTCTAAGTGACAGTGACAGCGATAGCAGTGATGACTCCTTTGCTCCTAGTCGTGGCACCACCCCCATACAGAAGATGCCTCTAGCAAATAACAAGGTATAAAAGATTATATCTTATCTATATATATTTATTTACAGTTCAGTTTGATCATGCAGAGCCTGATTGGCTCTTCCAGTCAGATTGCTGTTCTGCAAGGGATTACCTGAGGCAGGTATCAAAACCTTTCTAGGCACTTACATTACTTGCTTTTAAAGTTTCTCTTTTCAGCTGCTGTCAGGTATAAAGTGCAGGCACTACCTGCTCTTATACGTCAACACCAGACCACAAACACCAGAAATTACTACAAACACAACTAACTTTTGAAAATCTTTTACTTATACAAGTATATATGTTTAGAAATAATAATGGCATCCAATTATATACTGTGTGTGTGTGTGTGTGTGTGTGTGTGTGTATATGTGTATATATACAATCTCTTTCTATCTATCCCTCCAGCTCCCTATAATCAAAAAGCGTTGCCGGAACTCTTTGTACCTCCAAACTTTATTCTTTGCTTATTGATACATGCATAATATGTGTTTCTGCATTAAAGGACCTTAGTCATAGCCCTAGTCATGCGCTATGACTAAAGCTGTTTGAGGCAGAAAAGTGCCAGCGGTTGCCTATGTATTGATGTGCAAAGAATAAAGTAAAGATTGGAGGAATAACAAGTGCTTGAAATTTTTCATGGCTTACTTTGGAAAAGGGGTTACTTGTGCACCGAGTGTGGCATGCAAGACATTCATCAGGGGTCAGCTCTGCTTTTAATGTTGTGGAACCTAGACCCCTATTTTTAAGGACAGAGCGGTATACCCAGTCCTGGGCCTCTTCTTGTAAACTCTTTAACCCTTTCACTGCACTTAAAGTCGAACTCCAGGCAAAAATATTAACCCTTGCAGTGTGGCTACCATCGCACTGCAAGGGTTAACTGCTCATTCGTGTCTAGGACTGAAAATAAGAAATATATACTCGCCCAATCCTCGGAGCCAGCAGCGCTACCTCCAGCCTTTCTCCTCCTCCGCTGCAGCGATGGTATGTCCCTCGGTGTCCTCACGTCCAATACATTGTATTCGGATGTGATGATTTGAGGATCCTTAGACTGCTGCAGCAGAGGGAGATAGACACTTGAAGGATCGGTCTAACAGCAAGCCACCTCCGAGGATCGGGTAAGTAAAAGCTTTTTATTTTCAGCCCTAGACACAAACGAACAGTTAACCCTTGCAGTGAGGGGGTAGCCACACTGCAAGGATTAATAATAATTTTTTGCTTTTAAGGCTTACTACAGACCAGAAATGCTTCCAGCTGGCTGGCTCAGTAAGTCTTATGCCAAAAACCTACAGCCATCTGATACCCAGTACCTGTGTCCGTTGGAAATAAATGTGATTGGTGGCTTTCTAGCAGTTGATCACACCCATTCAATACACAAACCCCGCTCCCCCACCTACCACAGTTGCTTGTTGGAATATAACCAAATTGGCAATGGCGGAAAACGGCTGCATAGTAGATTGTGGAAAACTTTGAGCGGAATTTATCAAAACTGGAGCAGACAAAAATCGGCACAGCTGTGCATGGCAACCAATCAGCTTTTCTCTTCAGTTTAGATTTGAAAAGGAAAGAGAGAAGCTGATTGGTTGCCATGCACAGCTGCTCCAGTTTTTGTCTGCTCCAGTTTTGATAAATTCCCTTCTATTATCACATCCATTCATAAAGCTATCTACAATTCTTGAGCTGGCTGCAGTGCTGAGGAGAAGCGGGGAGATGTTTACCATCTCCTGTAGTACCACTAAATGCAGAAGTGTTTAGTCGTGGTCACTTCTGCATTTAGTGTGCTGAGTGCTCGGAGAGAATAAGGACAGATGATTCTGTGTCCTATGTTTCTCTTTCTGGCACAGTGGAGAGACATTAGGGATCTGTTGGATCACTGATGTCTTATTGAAGAGCACCTGTCACCAGGGGAGGAGAAGGCTGAAAACTCTGTGTCCTCCGATTCTTTCTCCAGCTCAAATTGGAGACATTAGGAGTCTGAGACATCAGACTCCTGATGTCTCATTGAAGAAGAGCTGTCAGTAGGTGCATTACTGCACATGCATTAAGGTGCATTGCACCACGTATGCCAATTAATTTTGAATTGGCAGCCAGCACACCCCAATTCAGGCAAAAACTTACAGGGCCCAGGTACATCTTAGCAGTGTTTTTAAAGCATGTTATGTCATGAGCTAATGTGTCGCATTTCGGCAGCCCATTTAAAATAAACCCTAATGTACACAACCCTTTTTTTTTCTTTTTTTTAAGGCAATGCACAGCAACACACTACCATGAGTTGCAGCAGTCAAAACGCAGGTGCATTGTTTTAGTGTATTATGTAATTAATTCATTGCACTTCAACTCACCACATTGCAGATTGTGAATTACCTGAACACAGTTATAAAACCAGCCTCAAGGTATTTAACTTAACCCCTTTACATCTGGTACTTCTGGCTCTTGCCAGTCCTTTAAGGGGTTCTTAATGCCAGAGGTGGTTTCCCCCAGAGGTGGTCTGATGATTGGAGACCCATCCTACTGGTTCCCAATGTAAATAGTAATCAGGATCTTGGTGTTGGAGCATGCTCCAAGCACAAAACAGCAACACCACCAGTCTGTATATTAGAGGGCATAAAGTACACCACTGTGCTGCCACACATGTGTATGGCCATTGTCAACAGATTTAAAGTGTATGTAAAGGAAAACTTTGTGACTTATTAAATGTTTTTAAAAAGACGCAATGTAAAATTTACAATAAAAGAATTAAAATCATTACTGTTTTATTGAAAATATAGTATTGATAAACATTTGCACAACTACCATGGACCTACAAAATCAGACATGATGAAAAAAAAATTAAAAAACTGCAAAAATGGTCTGACCAACTAAATCATAAGTGTAGTGTAGGGCCTGGCAGTGAAAGGTTTAAACTTCAGTCACCAACAGCACTGACCGGCCCCTCCAAATGTCTCTGGTCTTTTCTCTATTGGTTTGGCCTGCTATGGTCTCTCTTCTAGATCTTGTCTGGACTGTGGTGGTAAGCGCACATAGTGCTCTTATGTTTTGGATTTGACATCTGCTAATTGTGGAGGGGGTATCTACTTTTTAGGAAATCTCCGTATTAATATTAAAAATATATACATTTCCTTGTTAATGTTCAGTAAAAATAATAATCCAGAATGTATCAGTTTTTAAATAGGAATCATGTTTTTTAAGGACAAAAGAATTACAGTTCTTCAGTGGCCTCCAAAGAAATTTTAGCTTTTGATATAAAGTTTAATTTAACTGTTATTAAGTTAAATTACATGGTGGCCAGTTAGAAGCAAACGTCTATCATGTTCATCACATTTTGCTCGCAACTCCTGCCTCCTACACTTTTCTATTGGCTAGTAGGGCAGCCCATCATAGTAATGGGCCAGTAGGAGTTTAGGAAGCCAGAGAGAGCAGGCAAAGCTCCGACACTTCCAGGTAGCATCGGAACTTTGTGTGTTCAGAACGTCCCAATGCTAGGTTGTAGAAAGGGCTACTAAAAGCTGCTGATGGTATGTACAGTAAACCCTGTGTGCTTCCACCTAAAACAAGCTCTTCTCAAGGATAAATGTTTTAAATATGTGCCTTTTTATTTTATTTATTTATATTTAGGTTTGATTCTTCTCAAATCTTTGGCAGTTCATTTGTGTCTTTCTTTCTCAATGCGTTTCTTGCGACCCTGTTGACTATTTGCAACAAAACGTTTGAGGGTTCTGTGATCACGCCCCAATACCTTAGCAATTTCAAGAGTGCTGCATCCCTCTGAAAGACTTTTTAACATTTTTGACTTTTCAGAGTCAGTTAAATCTCTTTTTTGGCCCATTTTGCCTGAGGAAAAGAAGCTGCCTAATCATTATGCACACCTTGATATAGGGTGTTGATCTCCTAAGGCCACACCCTCCCTCATTACACAAATACACATCACCTGATATGCTTAAATCTAATAAGCCTTCAAGCTTATACAGCTTGGAGTTAGGACAATATGCATAAAAATGGTGATTTGGTCAAAATACTCACTTGCCTAATAATTGTGCACACACTGTAGTAGTTTGGCTTCTGGCGTCAACCAGCAAAGTTGTAGCGAAGCCATTGGATCAGCTTGACAGCATGGCAGCTAGCATTTTTTGAAGGAAAGGTCAGCAATGACACTGAATAAAATGGGTATGTGAAGCAGACTGTCTTCCTTGTTTTCTTTGTCTGCAGTAAATGGAGCAATTAGCCTGTGATATCAACTCTCAAACCACAGGGAAAGAAAAAGCAGAGGGTATTGGAATATGTTTGTATAGTTACTTGGTACACTTGGCTAATGTGTGTTTACAAAGTACAGTTACCCTTTAGGTTGTAACTAACCTATTTTGCTTGTCTCTATGTGCCTTGACAGAATGAGTCTAAGTGACAGTGACAGCGATAGCAGTGATGACTCCTTTGCTCCTAGTCGTGGCACCACCCCCATACAGAAGATGCCTCTAGCAAATAACAAGGTATAAAAGATTATATCTTATCTATATATATTTATTTACAGTTCAGTTTGATCATGCAGAGCCTGATTGGCTCTTCCAGTCAGATTGCTGTTCTGCAAGGGATTACCTGAGGCAGGTATCAAAACCTTTCTAGGCACTTACATTACTTGCTTTTAAAGTTTCTCTTTTCAGCTGCTGTCAGGTATAAAGTGCAGGCACTACCTGCTCTTATACGTCAACACCAGACCACAAACACCAGAAATTACTACAAACACAACTAACTTTTGAAAATCTTTTACTTATACAAGTATATATGTTTAGAAATAATAATGGCATCCAATTATATACTGTGTGTGTGTGTGTGTGTGTGTGTGTGTATATGTGTATATATACAATCTCTTTCTATCTATCCCTCCAGCTCCCTATAATCAAAAAGCGTTGCCGGAACTCTTTGTACCTCCAAACTTTATTCTTTGCTTATTGATACATGCATAATATGTGTTTCTGCATTAAAGGACCTTAGTCATAGCCCTAGTCATGCGCTAT